CCCTTTCTCTTGATTGGAATAAGAACCATTTTCTATTTTAACTTATCCATGACTAGAACAAGGGATATAAGAGGAGAAATAATCAGTCATACCAGTCATGTGTTCAATTGCTCCAAAATCAATAATCCAACGGATTTCAAAGCTATTTACAGAGATATGATGTGTTGATGCAAATATATGTAATTGTGCAATGTGCGACTTAGAGGAGGAAGAAAAGTCTTGAATGGAAGCCTACTGCTTGAGATCCAGGAGCTCTCTTTTAGGAATACCCAACAACTCTTCTTGAGGTTCAAAGGAAGAGATGGTATCTTGCTGCCCTTGAGTAACTGCAACAGTATTTTTACTGATTGTTGCTGAATTTGCCCTTGGAAAGTTTCACCTTTGCATCTAACCAGATCGCAACATGTTTCCCTTGTGTCGAGTTTTCCCACAGTGGGTAAAATTTAATTTGTCCTTCTCATCATATATGGAGTTTCCACAGCCACAACCACCACAACGGCTCCCAAAACATCTGCCACCTCGATTACCTCGAAAACTTGCGAATAGGGCGGATCCTTCAATTCCACCCATAGACACTGCCATTATCTTGCGTCAAATTTCTTCATGCTTAAGAAGGGAGTAAACAGAACTAGGTGATGGCAAAGTCCCGCCACCGAAAACATTTGCACTAATTTTTTTATACTCTCCATTAACTCCCCTCAAAAGATTAAAAATCTTCCTTTATTCTAGTCTCTCTCTCTGCTCCTTTGCACAAGACGAACACTATTCATCCCAAAGACCACATAGATGAGCATAATAGTCTTCCAATGACAAGTCACCTATTTAAAACACTGATTAGCTGCTCCAATTCATAAACCCGTACAATATTTTTGTCTTGGGAATAGGACTCAAAGACTGCCTCCCATAATTCCTTAAGAGATATTACAGTTTATAGAGGATCAACTCATATTAAGTTGTATAGAAAATAGCATTTGATTCATAATATCCATATATTCAGCCTCCTAGCCTGCATATTTAGCATTTGGGGTCCAAATGACTCCATATTTGATGCCTGGATCTTAACTCCATATTTGATGCATGTAGAGACATTATCTGTTGTAGTTAAGATCCAGTTACACCCTTAGATCTTAATGAACAATTAAGATCAAGTTACACTTGTGATCTCTTCAAATAAAAGGTTTAACACATCTAGTTATACCCTCAGATCTAATCACACTCCCTTTTTCCATAAAAACATAAAAACAGCACTAACAATATTTTTCTTCTATTGGGGCATACAAATCGATGGCGTCATCTAACCCAAAGGATAAAGCCAACCCTAATTGGTCACCCCTTTCTCACATGGATCATCTAGAAAAGGCTTTCTGATGTGCCTCTTTCTAATTGGTCACCCCTAATTGGTCACCCCTTTCTCACATCTGATTTCATTGTAGTGCACTACTCCAATCCCATTAGACTTTCATGGCCATCATCGTGGGCCGACTCCACCTCGAGGCGAAAGTTATGGTCTACAAGATCCTCAGCAACCAGCATAGGATTGGGCAAGTTTGCCTCAACTAGCCCTAGGCCCATCCTTGCAGTCTAGACACAAAGTTGAACAACATATCCTCTTCAAATATAGTTTGAATCATGGACTTAAAAAGCGGTCCGCCCAACGATGGGGGGCATCGGCGGACCAAATAGGCGGCTGTCCCTGGGCACCCCTAGTACCCGCCTAGGCGGGGGCCTAGGGTACCTGGGCGAGCGCCCAGGGGACTGCGCTCGACTAGGTGAAACAATACCCATCGGGTGGGGTATTTTTGGTGTTTCTTTGTTTGGGTTATAAAATATGCATGAATATGAATATTTTGTACAAAATATGGAACTAAAACAAGGTTACTGGACACCATTTGCCCCCTTTTGAACCTAGGCCGCCCAAAACTCCCCCGACTGCCTAGGCGCCGCCCGACATTTTTTGGAACACTGGTTTGAATGTCCAGTATGAGGGATGTAAACATCTTCACATAGTCCCTCGCCGAGCCCGTCTATCAAAGCTTTTACAAAATCTCGTGAGCCACCCATGCGACATTGCCCAACAAGAATTTATCCTTCAACCTTGTTTCAAGGCCCCTCCAAGTGTCCTTCTTGGGACTTAAAGTGTTTGTAACCAGTATAACTCACAAAAGCTTTACAACTCTACTGAGATACATGTTACAAATGCCTACTTGGTCTTTATCACAGGCATCACTAGACTTGAAATATTGCTTAGTCCCATAGGATTTCTGCAACACCTTGAGTCCCTCATGGTGTCAAATACCCTTGGCCCTGGCACCCTCGTACTTTAAGAGTCCAATACGCCACTAGTGTTGCCTTTTTGACAAGTATCATGCTTTCTTGTAGGGTAAACAAACTTGCCTTAAAAGAGTACATAAAGGCTTTGAGGTCATCTATGGGCCCTTCCATACAAGCATTACATGGGCCACATTGCTCCTCAATTTAAGCCTCAAGAGCACCAATCCAAGCCTCCAAGGAGATGAGGCTTTGCCCTGACCTACCATCTTGGACACCTTGGGCCAAGATTTGTTGCAACTGCTCCTCAAGGTTGGTGGCACGGTCCTGATTTTCAGCAACACCACCATCCATGGTCAATAAACCTCACTTCGCTACCAAATTGGCTCTGTCGGTCTTATTTCTCACTTAGCCAACCATTGCAACTCCCAAGAAAGGTCCAGCCCTAAGTAAGGCAAGGTCAGCTTTCCACAAACACATAGAAGAGGAAAGAGCAAACAAGCACACAAGGGTAAATGAACAACCTGCAGACAAAGGGTCCTAGCCGTTCTTATTCACTGTAGACTTGCACGTATTTGCTTTTCCCTGAGATTTATGACTTGTGACCTACCAAAAAAGAGGAACACGACACAATGTTGCTCCCAAAGCAGCCTCGTTCGGGAGTACGTGGGCCAATGAAGCCATGCCAAGTCCAACCAAGGTTTTACAAATGGCACCATGCACTATACTCGCAGCAAGTACAGTTTGGGGTAATCAAATCAGCCATCCACCATCAACACATATCAATGTGCAGCAGATATGAAATTGTCTTTTACTGATATACAAGACCTGACTTAAAGTAAAAAAATGGCTCCTCTCCACAATTCGTTGGCATGATAGACAGTGGATGGCTTGTCTGAATACCTAAAAATATACTAGCCAAGAGTATAGATAATTCCCTTTTACAAACCCATCTAATCTCTACAAAGAGTAGTAGAGAACACCCTGGGTCCCAAATGCCACCTCCAAGAATAAGTCGAAACCCAACAATTAACCTAGATCCCAAATGTTGCATTCTAATAGCATAAGCGGTATCCAATAGTGCTAGTAACATTCACATGAAACCTAGTCCTTCCCCCACCCACAGAGAGAGGAAGAAGAAGATGATGATGATGAAAGCATCTTAGAAACCATTTGGGAACAGCTACACGAATCATGTTTCACATTTCCGCTATATTAAGGGTCATATATTCAATTAGACTATAAGCCACCATATCTCTTCTCACTACTTCCATCCATGTCTTTTTAGGCCTTTTCTTTCCTTTTCAGAGCCTTTCACTACCAAATCGCACCTACTAATCGATGTTGTTCTAGGTCGACATTGCACATGACCAAATCTACTTTTTGTCATTTTATTACCTATTAGAGCTACCCCTAAGTTCCCTCGTACGTATTCATTATGAATTGTCCTTTCTTGTCATGCCACTCATCCATCTTAACATACTCATCTCTGCTATAGTCATTCTATGGATATATTGTTTCATAGCCACCGACCATTTCATCCCATAAAGCATGGCTTGTCTTACAGCCCTACTATAGAACTTCCCATTCAATTTCATTGGTATGTGATGATCACATAACACTCTGGAATATATATGTGTGTGTATAGAAAGAGTAAGTGTCAACCTTGTACTATTGAAGTAAGGCTCACCTCAAAAACTCATCGAAAAAAGTTGTTCCAATGTCCAAAAACTCTCAAAGTGATCATCTCAACCTCAATATGTAGGGAAATGGAAGAAAAAAGGATTTCAAATCAAGAAATAATGCAACTTGTAACGCATTATCTAGACCATCCATTTTCAAAAACGATAATTGTTTATAGATCATGCTTGATTTATATCATTTTTGGAACTTCAAATTTTATAATTAGGGATGAAAATAGATTCTCATGCCATTGCAAGGCTTTTAGGCACTAAAACTGCACCTTTCAACATGGTTTTAAAATGCCATTATATAGTTTTAAAATGCCGTTACTTCAACTTTCTCATACTATTTTTATAAAAACCTCATATATATATATATATATATATATATAAAGCTCCATGCCAATGGGAATATAGTTATAGTTTAATGGAGCTCCAACCACATAGCTTGTTTTTTTTTTTTTTTTTTTTTATAACAAAGCTTGAGGGATTTTTTTGGGATGAAATGTTGCACATCTTTGTTTAAAAAAAAGAAGCAGTCTAAAAAAAAAAATTGATTTCAAGTTCTTGAAGGCCTAGATCCATCAACCACCAAACAGATGACATGTGCTCACCAATAATGGTGGACTAGTTTTCTCCCTTTTCTTTTGCGAGTACTTTTTTTATGTTTTTATTTTTTTTTACAGCCTAGATGAGATCTACATGTGTGCAGAAATTTTGAGGTCAAATAGACCTTTACTTTTCAAAGTAGATTATGCTACAAAAAAAGAAAGATCAATCCACAATATTAGCATGCAGTGTGAACTGACAAACATCCTATAATTCTGATCAAACAAAACTCAATAAAAATGCAATTTCAAACATCGGTTGATGGTACTATCAAGTAGAGATCTGGTCCTTAACTAAATCCCATTTGAGAACTCTAAAGAAATAAGCCATTAATGTAAATGTAGTTGCAAATGTAAATCAATCAAAAGTAAAAAACCATAAAGAAGATGAAAGAATGGCCCCAACAGTAAAGAAAGCAAGATAAAATGATAGACAACTGACCAAAGAGCTGCTTGGATAGACATTCTGTAATCGTACTGTTTTTACAGCCAAAAATCACACCACCAAGATCATCTTTCTTCAGATTTCTTGCAGCCGTATTATTTCTCACAGTTGATGATGATGATTTGTCAGTTCTCTCACTGCAATATAACGTTTGTGTTTTCCTTCCAGCACCCATACTCTGCAAACAAGCTTCAAAGTAATTTTAACATCCAATATTCATTGGAATGGAATTATCCAAGGACGTTTTTGGCTGGTTAAAGAATATTACATGTTCTAGAGACAGCTCAATCCACAAATGAAGCTCCTGAGCTTTCCAGATAGTATTGTTGTAAAATATAATGTAAGAAGTTTCACAGCATGAGCAATGATAAGTGGCCGCCATCAAAGGGCTGACAATATTTACTATAAAATAGATAGAAAAAAGGGACTTTGACAGTACAAAGTTCTCCTTTTTTTATTTTAGCAATTGACCATAGAGGTTGATGGGCCTTATACAAAATTTGGGTCATTGCCATGCATGCAATTGGATTGGTGGCAGGGTGATCAAGACCATAAAAGAGGCCAAGTCAAACCATACATTTTCATGGAATCAATGTACAAACATTTGGCTGCTCGACCATCTAGGTGTGGCCTAGGAGGCAGGGGGGTCCAGGCAGACTTGTTTAAGGCGCGAGGCAGTTCTGGGCGCCCACCTAGGGCAACCTCCTTAATTTTTTTAGTTCTTTTATTTAGTGAGAGAGAATTAGGTCTATCGAGAGATATTTTTCATTGCTTGTACTTCTATTCATTTATTTTAGAGAGAAAAAGTATCCATTTTCAATAAAAGTATCCTTTCTTTAACTTTTGTTTATTTAAGAAGTAAAGTATTTGGCACAGTTCCTAAAAAAGTAAAGTATCCTTTTTCTTTTATTTAGCAAAATACCTTTCTTTAATTTTTGGAAAAGCGGGAGGGTACGCTTCTTAAAAAAGCACACATGTGGCACATTTACACAATAACACATTCACATAGCCATGATCTTAATATTACTTTTTCATACAACGGCACACTAGCATTAATATTAATTTTTTATACAAATTGAAACCATAAAAGGGAGAGAATGCCGGCCCCCACCCCCGCCCCCACCAACACAAAAACAAAAGGGTCGCCTAGGCAGTCGCCTCGGCCTTCTTGAACACTAAATGGAATGCTTCCCCCATTCAATGGCCATGACGAACTGCCAACGATCCAATGGTAAGAAGGGTGACAACCCAATCTTTTATTTGGACAATCATCTCACAGCGTCAGGCTCCGAAAACAAAATAAGAGAAAAAAGAGAACAATATAGATATGATATACAAGTTAATATAAAATATTGAACCCCACTTTAATGAATCCTAAATCTACATTTGTTGGGAAAAGACTCTGACGATGATGATGATGATGATTGAACCCAACTTTTAAAAATCAATATAATAGTCATATAATACTAGTTCTTACTATTGTTATGATTTGTATAGAAAAAGAAGTCATAAAAGATAAAAACTCTAACCATGTGAATCCATTCATTAGTGATTTATGTTGACTACCATCGACCCATCAGATGTTTGATTTCAGTCAAGGAACTACTTGATTTCAGTCTTTGAATGACCCAAACATGAAGCAGGTATTATGTAGAAAACATGTGAAAACCATCTAGATGCAAATTGCATCTAGGAGCTTTTTGGCACTGGGACATGTTTGTCATTTTCAAGATCTTTTTTTCGTCACCAGATGTGATTGCGATTTTCAGAATCTTTTTGGTCACCGGTATGTATTTCTCAGTTCTAAGAGTTTGGCCCCAGGAAACATTTGACATTGTCTTGTTTGGCTCCAGGATGAGTGTGTTATTATCTCTTTGTTAGTTTGGTCATTTCAGGATTTGTCAAGGTCTAGGGAATTTGGCATAGAGAAGAAATTTGGGGGGCGTTTGATAATCACGTAAAGCGGTGAAAGTGCCCGACTTTCCCTATTACTAAAGTTTTCACCTATTTGGGAATAGTTAAAATGGGAGAAAGTTAGAACACAAGTTCTCCCCATTCACTATTCCCTTAAGGAAAGTTGTTGCTTTGAAGTACCCCAGTGCTGCTACTTTCAGTGAAATTCATGCCATCAGTGAAAGTTAACACCTGGACAGTGGCAATACAATAAATATAATACTATTATAGTATATATAATATTTTTTAATATATTTTTATAATATATTCATATATTATTTTAGTATTATATAACATCATAATATTATTATATTTTAGTATAGTGATATTATAATGTATTAATGTGATATAACATAATGATATATTATAATGCTTTATTATAATATAATATATAATAATATATTACAGGGAAACGATGTTGTCAGCCCATGGGCTGATGGAATAGTCTAAGCTCAAAGGCCCTCAATCTGACAATCACAAAAGTATTTCGTAATGTAATTTCAATATTTTTTTCTATAAATCCAAAATCACATGAAATTTTGGGTGTCCATTCTTCTCATCAAGGCACACAGGGGATAGG